TTTATTCAAAATAGTTTGATTTAAATGGGTCATCCCAACAGACTGCTACCAATTGCGATCTTTTGGTAACCAAAAATGTACTGGTTTGCTGGAAAGAGTTATATACAATAACAAATTCTACAAATTAAACAGTCCCACTCTAACTGCTACATATGAGACGATATTGCATTCCCTTTGCACTTTTCTAATATAATCTATGGGATTGCTGCATTTAACTTTTATTGTGTTCATGGAGAAGTTACGACGCTAATCTAAAGACATTCTTGATTCCGTGGCTTTCCTAACAGTGATTATTGGCAACAATAGCAACCAGAAGTTGGTAAGATTCATATAGTTGTTTGTTATTGTTCGTTGATTCTTTAACCATCTTGTATGAGATCGTAAAGAAAAAATACTCCCAAACATCTTTGATTACCGATCTTAATAGAGAAAATATATTGAGAAATATAAGCATTTTGTTGAGTAATTTTTTTTCTTTGTGTTTAGTGGAAAAAAGGTTTACATCATGGAAATATTAAATGCAGTAATGTATATGTTTATGGTCTAACGAATGTTCAGTTTGATGTCAAAATTGGACATCCAGGACTAGTGAAGTTTTATAATAAACAACCTCTTACTGATGCCATAAATACAGGAAGGTAAGATATACACTAGTCTAGATAATAAACAACCTCTTACTGATGTCATTAATACAGAAAGGTAAGATATACACTAGTCTAGATAATAAACAACCTCTTACTGATGTCCTTAATACAGAAAGGTAAGATATACACTAGTCTAGATCATAAACAACCGCTTACTGATGTCATTAATACAGAAAGGTAAGATATACACTAGTCTAGATAATAAACAACCTCTTACTGATGCCATAAATACAGAAAGGTAAGATATACACTAGTCTAGATAATAAACAACCTCTTTCTGATGCCATTACCACAGAAAGGTAAGATATACACTAGTCTAAATAATAAACAACCTCTTACTGATGTCATGAATACAGAAAGGTAAGATATACACTAGTCTAGATAATAAACAACCTCTTACTGATGCCATAAATACAGAAAGGTAAGATATACACTAGTCTAGATAATAAACAACCTCTTATTGATGTCATTAATACAGAAAGGTAAGATATACGCTAGTCTGGATAATAAACAACCTCTTACTGATGTCATAAATACAGAAAGGTAAGATATACACTAGTCTAGATAATAAACAACATCTTTCTGATAACATTACTACAGAAAGGTAAAATATACACTAGATAATAAACAACCTCTTACTGATGTCATAAATACTGAAAGGTAAGATATACACTAGTCTAGATAATAAACAACATCTTTCTGATAACATTACTACAGAAAGGTAAGATATACACTAGTCTAGATAATAAACAACCTCTTACTGATGTCATTAATACAGAAAGGTAAGATATACACTAGTCTAGATAATAAACAACCTCTTACTGATGTCATAAATACTGAAAGGTGGAAGGTAAGATATACACTAGTCTAGATAATAAACAACCTCTTTCTGATGCCATTACTACAGAAAGGTAAGATATACGCTAGTCTGGATAATAAACTACCTCTTACTGATGTCATTAATACAGAAAGGTAAGATATACACTAGTCTAGATAATAAACAACCTCTTACTGATGTCATTAATACAGAAAGGTAAGATATACACTAGTCTAGATAATAAACAACCTCTTACTGATGTCATTACTAAAGAAAGGTAAGATATACACTAGTCTAGATAATAAACAACCTCTTACTGATGTCATTAATACAGAAAGGTAAGATATACACTAGTCTAGATAATAAACAACCTCTTACTGATGTCATTAATACAGAAAGGTAAGATATACACTAGTCTAGATAATAAACAACCTCTTACTGATGTCATTAATACAGAAAGGTAAGATATACACTAGTCTAGATAATAAACAACCTCTTACTGATGTCATTAATACAGAAAGGTAAGATATACACTAGTCTAGATAATAAACAACAACAATAAATAACTAAAGATGTATTTTTAGTGACAAATTCACACAGTTTTGGTCCTTAAACTTACAGGTTTTGATAGATATTGCTATTGATTCGTGTTTCATATTACCTTTTTAAGGAATGTAATGTGTTTTTCGCAATTTTTTGGGCTATCAGTCTTTGAAATGTTTTAATTCAGAATTCAGGGTATTGATGCTATATTTGTCTTATTTCAGGATACCATGGATTGGTGTAGAGTTGTTTGAGAATTTAAGTAGATGTTCAATAGAATCTGAGATCTACAGTTTCTCAACATTTGTCTGGGAATTTCTGTCTTATGGAAAACAACCAGCAGATGAACTTAACCTTTTGAAACTAAACAATGCTAAAGAGGTACTTTATTGATCTTTGTTCTCGTATCATACACAAATATGTCATCTGTAAACGTATGTAAAAAAATACAAAACTTAACATAAGGTTTTTGTATTCTCTTACAAGGATGCATTGTGTCCAAACCACACCCCCATTCGACATACTTCCTTGGTGATACGTGAGCAGAAAATGATGTATTCATAGTTAAATATTGTCCAATCAAAATCTTTTCAAGAAATAGCCAATCAAATCAAATCACTCATTATAGACGAAAGCCTTGTGTCATTAAATTATTTGATTAATATGGATGATACAGAATTGAGTAATATTTTCGGTAATAAGTTGAAGCTGACAGAAAATCAAAACTTTACTTTAGAATTTGTATTAGCTGGGAATGTGTTCTTATCTCTTCAAACTGGTGGCGGCAACAAAACCTGTATTCAGGATAGGATCACAGGGATGCAGAGTTGAAGACCCCAATCAAAGAGTCACACATATACACTGGAGCCCTTTTAGAATGTACAGCAGTAATCAACCACTTTATTTTAAATCATGTTTGTATTTTAGACAATGAGTTTTTATAAAAATGGTAAGACACTGAGCAAACCGCAGATATTGCATCATGGTGATTTAGATTTTCAATTCAAAAACGATATAAAAGACCAATTGTGGAACTTGATGTGTGAATGTTGGTCAGTAAAACCTGAAGATAGACCAAATGTTTTGAACATGATTTTAAGACTTCAAAACAGTAAGTTAAAGGATTGTTTTTATTTTCATAACCTCAACAAAATTTAATGTAAATTTATAAGCAAAATATATTTTGTTTGTTCATATACAAAACAAGAGCAAATGTTACAAAAATTTTTATAGGTTAAATATATTGAGAATTTTGAACTTTGAAGTACAGGGTTGATATTGAGATTTAAGAAATGATATAACAGTCTATTGAGGGTTGGTATATCTTGATGTGTAATGAAGCCTTAATCATTGAAAATGTTATCATATTGATGTTTATCTGTATCCTTTGGTGGAAGGACAATAGCCTTTCTGGAATAAAGCCCCTCTGCAATTTTGCACCAAAGAGGGGCTTTTGTCAGCCATTTGTATCTTTTATGTTTACAGTGTACAGTCAATATGGTTTCGTGACTGAGGAAGAGATTAATATTGAAAGCTTAAAACATATAAGTGTACCAAAGAGATATCTGTGTAATGTTATACATCCTAAAAACCTTAAAATTCATGAAGAGTTAGGACGGGTAAGTATTAAAGGGGCAGTATGCAAAATTTTCACCATCAAAAACATCGTAAATTATACCTGAAAATATTTCTAAAACATTCTATTACATCTATGTATCTTCTTAATCAAACTGAATTTGTTTTAAAATGGTTAATTAAAATGGAGAGTACTAATTGTAAATTACGCAGTTTGACAGTTTTGGTGTTAAGAGTGAAGAAGTTCCTAAAAACTTCTATGTAAAGCACTGACCAAGGTCACAAATAAACAGATAAATGTTCAATACAAGATAAGGTGAAGTTAGCATAGTTAGTATTAAGTTAAAAAAAACAACCACAAGTAATCTACAATAAACAAAAGTCTATAATATGAAAGTTTTCTTGTTACCAGTTCTAAAAGAGGAGAGTATAAATAGGTTCTGAAAAGATAAACATCTATATATAAGGATTAGAATATATAACACTTAATGAGCTAGAAAATAGAGAGGGGGGTCAAGTATTATTGGATTCAATGGGATCGAGTCTACCACGGACCAGAAAATTACTAAGGTTTTTATTGCGCTTATAGGCAATTACAAGTCGTTTGGTATATACATTCGGAAATCTGTTCTGTAATTCACTGTAATACTGTTTGATGATGGATGAGGTTTTGGCAGCTGTATGGTTAAAGGTGGCAACAAATGGAATCATTTGATTATCATGCTGGATGTTAAGTCCATTTGGAGCCACTGTTTGGAGTTGGTCCATCCAGTAGCTTTCTCTCTGTTGTGTTAGACCTCATAAAGACTCAATATTTTTACTTTCAGACATATTTCTCTACAATTAGGCCTTTATTTTGCTTAAATCTGTACAATACAACCTACCAAAAGGTAAAATAGTTTTGGTGTTGAAACTTAACTTTAAGTTAAAACTTTAGTTGCGATTTCAAGGCTTTTTCATCCTTATAAACTCTAGACTATACGTATATTTTAGGGCCATTATGGAATGGTAAAAAGAGCTACATATAATCCTAATAAAAAAGAATGTTATGATGTAGCTGTGAAACTGACACATGATTTGTCTAAAAATACACCAGATAGTAGAGAGCAGAAAAAGAAATTATTTGAAGAAGAAATTAAGACAATGGAGATGGCTCAACATAAGAATGTAGTAGTTATAATAGGAGTTTGTTATAAAGGTACATTTATTTCAGGTTTAAATAGAGAATTAGAAATGTGAATTTTTAATATATCGAAAAATGTGTTTACTCAGACTCAGACAGTATAGAAATAGAATTATTATATCATTATTATAACAAGATAATCTCATTAAATGTTTACTATTTTTTTACACTGAGAATTTTATTTGATGCATATTTCTATATAAGTCCTCTATATGGTTATTGATTCTGATGTTTTGTAGGGGAATCTCTATCAGTTGTAATGGAGTTAGTTAAGAGTGGAGATTTAGGAAAATGGTTGAGAGGTCATAAGAAAAAAGACTTAAATGACCCATATCATACTGTTTATCGTCAATTTGTAGAAGAAATAGCAGAGGTAAGTATTTTCAACAGAATCTTGGTTGACTGTCATTTACATGCCAAAATTGTGGGTAGATATTGATATAGTAAAAATTGTAAAACACCTATAAAAAATTGAAACAATCAAAAAATAATGTAGCTTGAGTGCACAATTTTTTCACCAATCAGAAACAATAATTTTTTAGCTAAGCCAATCAGTCATACTGATCACCATCAAATCTTGAGCCTTCAAATTCATATGTGTCCAGAATTATCTGTGTTTGAAAGTCTTTGAAGATACTGCAATATATAGAAAAGACATATAGAAATAGAAAGTGAAATTCCTAGTTTGAGATATTTTTGAAGGAATTATGCAATTTTCGTATATTTCTAATACTTCTGAAGACTATTTACATATATGCAAAACTTGAAGTCAAGCCTCCAAAATGGCGCATCTGGCCTTTTAATAGCAGGCTTATATGTTAAAATACATAGCTTTATATTTCATGATGGTGATGATAATTGTTTCTTTCTCTCAGCTTGTTTGATTTATCCATTTAAGGGAATGGCTCATTTAAGCTCAAAAGGTATTATTCATCGTGATTTGGCAGCACGAAACATTTTGATAACTGAGAAGAAACATATTAAGATTACAGATTTTGGATTAGCAAAACGTCTTGAAGACAAGAACTATTACAGAATAAAATCACCAACAGATTTACCTGTGTTTTGGTAAGTGAAATACTTATTGGTTCTTACATGGAAATTACTCAAACGTACTCTGTTCACAGTCATTTTGAATCTCTACCTCAACTTAATAAGTTGAAATTTGGCAAAAGCCTATAATATTTCAACTAAGTCTTCAAAACATATGTAAAGTTTTAGAAATGGCTGATGATTTTAAGGATTTGTTGAAACATTATAGCCTTTTTCAAAATGGCTTTGAACTACGTTAGTGTGTGTTATTTCCATGTAAGAACCATACATAGTTTTGTATGTCTCCTTCTAGTCAATAGGGAATGACTGTACCTCTCTAAGACATCTTTGTTGATAAGAACATCACCCTCCCAGTTATTGATATCTGATGTCTCTAAAATACATATTATATTTGTAAGATTAATAAAAATTTTGTGTCTGAATGTTGAAAATAACAATATTTTCACTAAGAAATTGTGCATTAAATTTTGAATTGAAAAACAGTGAACACACAAAAATCTAATGATGAGTGTGGTCTTCATTTATTTCTCTAATTTGAGTTTTTGTTTAGGTAGTTATATTTGTGAAATACTATTTTAGGACTGCCCCAGAGTGTTATAGTCCAGGGTATAAAGTTACACTTGAATCAGATGTCTGGAGTTTTGGTGTTGTTATGTGGGAAATATACAGTGAAGGTCGATCCCCTTATTTAACACCCAAAAGAGAAAATGTTGAGCACTTAAAAGCAGTGTGTTCTGGGGAGAGATTACAAAAATCTTCTGATTGGCCTGACTTTATCCAAACTTTAATGGATAAATGCTGGCAGATAGATGCAAAAGACAGACCATCTTTCGTTGACATTGTAAAAGAATTAAAGGAGACTGCTGTTTGAAACAGATTTTATTTAAAAAAAGTTTCAATACCGGTAGTTATTAGTGTTAAGAATTTAAGACTGAACTGTCCTGCAATTGTATGACCAAAGTTGTTGTTGTTGCCTTAATTGTCTTGATAACCATACTTTACTTCAAGATCCATCACACAATTCACCCAGAACTTGTTAAGCTTTATAATTTGAACAAAATATAACCAAAAAAGTCATTATAATGTAAAATTTGTTTAAAACTAAGCTATAGTAAAATTATTCGCATGTGTTATAAGTCATAAGAACCTTGACAAGAGCTAGCATAATAACACGGGGTTTACTATATTCTAGATAAGTAAAAAAAAAAGAGTGTCATTGACCAGAAGAAGTCATTCTAATTTTTAATTTGCTCAAAACTAAGCCAATTATTTGCATATGTTCTAGTTGCTAAGTCTTAAGAACATTGACAAGTGTTAGCACAAAAAAACATGGTAGGTAAGAAAAAAAGTGTCCTTTTGGTGAAATAATTCATAATTGACTATAACAATTGAGTGATATTTTTATTGATTAAACAGTATTATATGTTTTTAAGTTAATATTGTTTTGGACTATTGTCCCTAAAAAGGAGTATAAAAGGAGTTCTGTTTTTTATTATAATTTATAAACTTCAGAAGGATAGTTTTGTGAATTATAAACTTCTCTTATTTTCTTTTGATTCTTGTCAGTTCTTTCTATATAGCTCTGAAAATAATAATGCTATACATGTTTATAATTTATCCAGATATCATTTAAAACATATCTAGATATCATTTAACACATATCTAGATATCATTGAAATCATGTCCAGGTATTATTTGAAACATAATGATGTATGATTTAAAACATAATGATGTATGATTTTAAACATAACCATGACAACTTGAATTACTTTTGTTTATAATTTGCAAATATCTTTGTGCAAAGAGTGAAGCTTTTTGTAATTGTTATAGTTTTATTGTTATAATTTGTTTGTTAAGTTTTGAGATGCTCATTAAATAAGTGCTACAGTACAGTGGAGCCGCGTTTATCCGGTTGCTGATAATCCGGAAACCCCGATATCCACACGCTTATATAATATACCATCTCTCAAATTGTATTATTGTTATGCATAAAGTTGTTTAATTTGGTATTAGGCTTATAAATGAATACGCAAAGATATTATTGTAGATTTGGGCCCAATTCTAAGATACATGAGCTGTTTATGTTATGCTTGGTAGATTAATAGAATTTGAAGCTAAACAAACTAGACTTATACTACCATACTACCTTTAAATGAACTGATTATGTTTTTTGGATGTTCAAAAAGGTTTTTCCTGACTATATAGAAATATATTTAATCAGAAAGAAGAAATTTTTGATGCAGTTAAACATGTAGAAAATATTATTCTTAAAGGTGCGCCATATTTTTCATCAATTCTAAATCTGGTTTAGTCATATTGTAATGAGACTATTAGTGCTGCTCTAAGTTTTATTTTTTTATAATAATTTATCTTTTTCGTGGTATTATATTTTTTGGAATATTTTACGCATTGTATATAAGCCTGCATATAAACTGACTAAAACAAGTTAAATATTGTTTCGTTTTATATAGCCTACGGCGAAACTTTTACCAACATGATGGCATTGTTTCAAAAGCGCATTTTGTGAATTGGTCATTGTGTACTTGAAGCAAGTAAATGCCACATGGTAACAGCGATGTTCACTAATTTGGAGAGGGGGCGGGGGGTTAGGACTGACTGCCAGTGCAGTGAAGGCAACTTGCAGAAGCTGATCAATTATAGTTGCCAAGTTGCTCATGTTCTACATTCTAGCAAAAATTGAAAAAAATAAATCGCTGCAACTGATGGAGACATTGCAAAGAAGTATTGGAGACTGAAATAATGTTTCCTAACCCCAGATTCCCTGGAGACCCGGTTAGTATAGTATCCAGGAGACCCGAGTCGCCAACTAGTTTCCAGAACAGTGAGATAGACCCTTAAGTACAGGCACCTGTTTCTATCAATAGTGAGTCAACTATTGATGGAAATAGGTGCCTGTGCCCTTTAGGTCTATTTTCATAAGTATTAGCTAAAAGGAATTTATTTTTTAGTTCAATTCTTTCCCACTTTGAGTGGTGCGCTTATTTCTACCCTTTTTATGTTACTGTAGCCTTGGCCACTAAATAGATTAAAAGCTCCTGGACCATATGATTATAAGGCGTCGATAGGGCATTTCTCATACACCTCAATTCTTATTTTCAACCAATCGTAGAGATGGTTAAAAGAGTCTGCTTATCTGCGGGACAGTCTTAAGAAATTCAGTATGGCGGCTTTTCCACCGCTTGCAAGTGTAAGTGATACTAAATTATATTTTATTGAGCATGTATTATGTTGAGAATGTTTAGAATTAAACATTTTAAGAATAATTAGTAGATTATTGATAGTGAATAGATTTTAAACACTACTCAGTAGGGTGAACTGTTTTTAAACACAACTCATCAATTAAAACATCTAAATTAGTAGATTATTGATAGTGAATAGATTTCAAACACTACTCAGTAGAGTGAACTGTTTTTAAACACAACTCATCAATTAAAACATCTAAATTAGTAGATTATTGATAGTGAATAGATTTCAAACACTACTCAGTAGGGTGAACTGTTTTTAAACACAACTCATCAATTAAAACATCTAAATTAGTAGATTATTGATAGTGAATAAATTTTAAACACTACTCAGTAGGGTGAACTGTTTATAAACACAACTCATCACTTAAAATATCTAAATTAGTAGATTATTGATGGTGAATAGATTTCAAACACTACTCAGTAGGGTGAACTGTTTTTAAACACCCTCATCAATTAAAACATCTAAATTAGTAGATTATTGATAGTGAATAGATTTCAAACACTACTCAGTAGGGTGAACTGTTTTTAAACACAACTCATCAATTAAAACATCTAAATTAGTAGATTATTGATAGTGAATAGATTTCAAACACTACTCAGTAGGGTGAACTGTTTTTAAACACAACTCATCAATTAAAACATCTAAATTAGTAGATTATTGATAGTGAATAGATTTCAAACACTACTCAGTAGGGTGAACTGTTTATAAACACAACTCATCAATTAAAACAACTAAATTAGTAGATTATTGATGGTGAATAGATTTCAAACACTACTCAGTAGAGTGAACTGTTTTTAAACACAACTCATCAATTAAAACATCTAAATTAGTAGATTATTGATAGTGAATAGATTTCAAACACTACTCAGTAGGGTGAACTGTTTTTAAACACAACTCATCAATTAAAACATCTAAATTAGTAGATTATTGATAGTGAATAGATTTCAAACACTACTCAGTAGGGTGAACTGTTTATAAACACAACTCATCAATTAAAACATCTAAATTAGTAGATTATTGATAGTGAATAGATTTCAAACACTACTCAGTAGGGTGAACTGTTTATAAACACAACTCATCAATTAAAAGATTTAAGTTAGTAGATTATTGATAGTGAATAGATTTCAAACACTACTTAGTAGGGTGAACTGTTTATAAACACAACTCATCAATTAAAAGATTTAAGTTAGTAGATTATTGATGGAAAGCCGATGCAACTGCAAATTGATATTAAACCTATACAAACACTAGAAAAAACCTAAAAATATTGATTATTGACAGCGTGTTACCAATCAGTCATCAAAATATTTTAATAGACAAACCCTGTAAATACTTTAAAACATGCCAAATTTTTTTAATTCCATGCTTTATTTTTGTGTCATAGAAGTATATTCTTGCTTTATATTCTTGTCATTATTGCTTATTGTGGTTAAGTTATATGCTGAAGGGAACCGGTTGTGGAAGAGATTACAACTAGCTAGTTTGCGACAGTGGAGAAAATGTAACTGTGACTTTAATCGATTATGAAATTTGATTTGATAATGGAAATGATAAATTGTAGCAACGATAATCGCTTATTATATTTCAAGCGCTAGCTGTGTCCAATGGTAGATTGGTGTAGTTCATTAAAATTCTTATTTTTGTCAATTACAATAGCTGATAATGTATTACAGATTGCAGGCAGCCATGCTGGAATATATGAAGCTTACTTTCTTCAGGTTGGTTCATTATTTTGACTTTCCTCTCTGCTCAAATGAGTATTTTTACCACTTAATTTTCAATACCAATAGGTGCACATTAAATTGATTTTATATGTAAATAAAATGCCTTTTTGATTACAACGAATCATGTATGAGATTGGATTGTCTTTATGTATATCTATTTTTGAAACCTTACTTTAAGAAGATCAGAAATGAAAATTTGTGTCCACAAACTCTTTCATACACTATCTTTAATTGAGATTTTATCTTTATTATTCTAATTACATAATATATGATTGATTAATTAATTATCTTTATGTTGTAATGAATTAAAAATTTAATTACTGTAGGTTCATAAAGATAAATTAATTAATTTTCATGACAACTTTGTTAAATTATTTACTTTTCTTTTATATTAGGCTGATCCTAAGGGCACTGGTAGTGTTGGAGCTTATGATGCTGCGAAATTCATGAAAAAATCTGGTTTGAATGATACAGTTTTGTCAAAGGTAAAGAGTTTCAAAATATATTAATATCTGAACTATAAATATTAAACAGAACCTGAAACATGTTCATACTTTGTTTGACACTATGGGATTTTCATATAACTGACTTATATTAGCCTGTATACCTACTGAAGTTTGACAAGTATTTGAACTATTGTTATATTTTTGAACCGACAGCCTTTTTTTTTAACTTTTTTATTTGTTTTATGTATTTTGTATGCAATAAGTGTGATATTTTGTTATTTTTGAAGATTTGGGACCTGTCTGATCCAACAGGAAAAGGATATCTAGAAAAAGTTGGATTTTTTGTTGGACTAAAATACATAGCCTTAGCTCAGAATGGTCATGATTTAACACCTGCTGGTTTGATTGTTGAAACACCACCACCTAATTTGGTAATTGATATTATTTATATTTTTATATATTCAAATCGAAACTATATACAGTTGTGGCCTTTTTATTCTCAATCATGATTATATATTGAATTGATAAGTCAAATCACTATTTTTTTGTTTTTGCCTTCCTGTTTGTATTGTATGTTCAGCAGCAGACAGGGTATGCTTACTTCACCACTATTCATTATGAAATACTTACTTAGGATTCATATACTTCTTCATGTGAAAAGTTCATTGGCTGCTCTTATCAATGTTTCGCCAGTATGCTGTTTTGGATATCAGATTTCGTTTTGTGATTTGGATTGTTAGTACTTAGTTTATTTATATTTACATCGATATATTGATATGAAACTTTTCCACAGTCATGTGATATCTATTAAAAACAGTTAAGACTTGGTAAGAGTGAGTCTGTTCTAATATTTGATAAGAAATGTTTTTCAGGGCCCTGTTGAACCAGTGATACCTCAAGCATCTACAACAGAACAGTGGGATATCAAGGTTTGTAACACCAATTTTAAAAAATATATCTAAGTACTAGAATGTGTTATAGTATGTTTTGAAAATGACCGTTGCCTTATTATATCTTGATAATGGAAATATATGGTCACATATAGTAGATACAGTGCTATCTGCCTTCTGTTCTTTTAAACCCGAGCAGCATAATTAACCGGCCACATAATTACGTAATATATACCCACGCAGCTGTGACGTCACATAACGATTAAGTCATACACTTTAAATAATATTCCGTTTTCATTAGCCCACAAGGTGCAGAAGAGTAGGACGTAAAACTCCATTCATTTCATTTCATTTTTTATACGCCCACATGAATATGTGGTCGTATATTGTCGTCGCCCCTGTCCGTCAGTCCGTCCGTCAACATTTCTCGTGAGCACTATAGAGACTACAGTTTTTATCTGATTTTGATAAAACTTGGTGTGATGCTTTAGATTGATAAGATCTCGGTCAAGAACGAATTTGACATATTTTTGATGAACGGTTTTTGAGATATTGCCCTTGACTTAGAACGCCTTGAAATTTGTTAAAAATAGTTCGTGAGCAGGATTGAAGCTACAGTTTTCAACCGATTCTGTTGAAACTTGGTGTGATCATTGGAATTGATAAGATCTCGGACAAGTTCTAACTTGACGCATTTTTGATGAATGGTTTTTGAGTTATTGTCCTTGACTTTGTTAAAACGCGTCAAAATTTTTAAAAAATAGTTCGTGAGCAGGATTGAAGCTACAGTTTTCAACCGATTCTGATGAAACTTGGTGTGATCATTGGAATTGATAAGATCTCGGACAAGTTCTAACTTGACGCATTTTCGATTAACGGTTTTTGAGTTATTGCCCTTGACTTTGTTAAAACGTGTTGAATTTTGTTAAAAATAGTTTGTGAGCAGGATTGACGCTACAGTTTTCAACCGATTCTGATGAAACTTGGTGTGATCATTGGAATTGATAAGATCTCGGACAAGTTCTAATTTGACGCATTTTCAATGAACGGTTTTTGAGTTATTGCCATTGACTTTGTAAAAACGCGTCAAAATTTGTTAAAAATAGTTCGTGAGCAGGATTGAAGCTACAGTTTACAACCGATTCTGATGAAACTTGGTGTGATCATTGGAATTGATAAGATCTCGGACAACTTCTAACTTGACGCATTTTCGATGAACGGTTTTTTAGTTATTGCCCTTGACTTTGTTAAAATGTGTCGAAATTTGCTAAAAATAGTTTGTGAGCAGGATTGATGCTTCAGTTTTCAACCGATTCTGATGAAACTTGTTGTGATCATTGGAATTGATAAGATCTCGGACAAGTTCTAACTTGATGCAATTTTGATGAACGGTTTTCGAGTTATTGCCCTTGACTTTGTAAAAACGCGTCAAAATTTTTTCGTGAGCACAATAGAAGCTACAGTTTTCAACCGATTCTGATGAAACTTGGTGTGATCATTGAAATTGATAAGATCTCGGACAAGTTCTAACTTGACGCATTTTCGATGAAATGTTTTTGAGTTAATGCCATTAACTTACGAAAAACGCGTTAAAATTTGTTTGTGAGCACAATAGAAGCTACAGTTTTCAACCGATTCTGATGAAACTTGGTGTGATCATTGGAATTGATAAGATCTCGGACAAGTTCTAACAAGAGATATTTTTGATGAACATTTTTTGAGTTATTGCCCTTGACTTTGTAAACACGCGTCAAAAGTTGTTTTTTGCCCTTGATTAGAACTGTGTGATTTAATTGTTTGTTGTATTTGGGATATTGATATTGATTTCAAAAACAATTGTGGAATTATTCAGCATGAATAATTTCTTCAATCTGAGAAAATTCGTACTTTAGTCACTGTTTTATTTTTTCTGACAGCTGCTAGCGGGCGTATGTTAGATTGCAACGCAAGCTATGTTTTTAATAATATCACTATATTACTAGGCGTTCAGAGTATAGGATGTTTGATGTTATTTATAACAGTGTTGAAAGGGATAATTGTTATTAACTTCAGTAAGTAATTTTGTGACTAAATGGTAAATGAATTGTATTTGTAGCCAGCAGAGAAGATGAATTATGATAAAGTATTTGATAGTTTACAACCAGTCAATGGATTATTATCTGGTGATAAAGTCAAACCTGTAAGTCTTACTAGCATAGTTATACTAAATATTTATATAGTCAGACACTCTTTAATTTTCATTTATAAGTAGGATGTAAAACTCCATTCATTTCATTTTTTTAATTTTCATTTAGTTCCTTTCAAAAAAATTATGAATTCAAATCAAAGCACGTGGTCAGCATACATCATCAGATCACATGAAATGAAGGAGAAATCTTCTTTATATTATTAATGAAGTCATCAATTTACTGTTTGTTTTTTTGCTAGTTCTTTCTGATGTTAACTCTTATGTTTATTGAACTTTCAGGTGTTATTGAATTCCAAATTACCTACAGAATTATTGGGTAAAATTTGGGATTTAAGTGATTGTGATAAAGATGGTTATCTTGATAGAGATGAATTCGCTGTGGTAGGTATAAACATTACAATATTTTACCTCCATCATCCACACAGGATGGAAAGAGTCCTAAGTCCTAGGTGAAACATTTAACTTAAACCTTGTATGTTACAGTTTGAGTAAGCTTATGTCAAAGGTCTTTTGACTATGGGAAATTGTGATGAGAGTCACCTCTTAGACCATCAGGACCAGAAGATTAGGATATACAGTTACTTATCAATATCTAATAAAGGAGTACTGATATCAAAGTAGAGATGATATTGTTCTTTTTTATCTTTTGATTTTATGAGTTGGCTGAATATCTAGACAATATTTAACTCGAAGTTCTATCATAATTTTTTTGTTAATTGTAGGCTATGAGTTTAGTATATAGAGCTCGTGAAAACAATCCCCTACCAGGCACTCTACCTACTACTATGATACCACCATCAAAACGTAATAAAGGTAGTCAGTTAGCTGGAGCAGTACCTGTTTTACCAGGAGGTCTTCCTTCATCAACTAGTGCTGTACCACCAGTACCTGTATGTATTAAATCTTTATTCATCACAGCAACAACAATATATTATGACTAGAGCTTGCTTATGCTACTGCAACATGTCTCTGATATATTCTTCATCAGGATATCAATTTTTTTTTCAATAAGTAGAGTTACAAATACATAACAGAGTAGAGCAAGATTTCTGCAGTTACCTTTCTAGGGAAAGTATTTACCTAGAAGAAATCAATCTAAGTTATGTTATTAATATCTGTGTTTCTAGACAGCTGTCAAGCCATGGGTTGTTTCAGCAGCAGAAAAACTGAATTATGATGCCATGTTTAAAAGGCTTGATACAGATTTTGATGGTTTAGTATCTGGTGCAGAGATAAGAGATACCTTTGTAAAGACTGGTTTAAATAATACAGTTTTAGCTCATATATGGTATAAAAATTATTTTTATTGTCAACTTACACTTCAAGCTTAATTTCACGGAAACTGATCATCATAGACAAAATGCCTCGAGTTACTGCTGTCATAGCCTGATTTCCCTAAAACTCAAAGCTCAAACATGAATCTGATCTCACAAAATCCGATTTGAATAGTTTTATCAGATTAACATACATAATAATACTATGTTTTTAATAGGAGTTTATGTGATATGGGAGGTGTAGGAAAGCTGAATTCAGAACAGTTTGCTCTAGCTATGTTTTTAGTACAACAGAAATTAAAGGGTATTGAACCACCTAGTCAGTTAACACCAGAAATGATACCACCATCTGCTAGACCTACAAGTACAGCCGATCCTGCTGCTTTTGGTGTAAAAGTAAGTATAATTTCACTAGAATTTCATTGTACAATTTATCAGTTAGAATCAGGATTCAAATCTTGGTATGTACATTGATTAAAATGTATTTTATTAACTCGAAAGAGAAAAATAATAATTAAACAATAACAATTAATAACAGTAATAGAAATATTAACGATCACATTTAAATAGGAATAAATAATATATTATTGGTTTGTTTTATTACCCTTTTTGGAACAAATACATCCACAGATAATAATAACACAGAGACAAGTGGTTCCCATTCCAATTAATGATATATAATCTTTGAACTTAAAATCCAATGCTTCATGTACTACAACTTTAAATGTTGCAACATGACGTTGCTTCAAAAAACATCTGAAAAATGTTAAAAAATGTTCAAAAAATTGGTTGGCGCTTTATGTTGGTTGGTAATTGTGCCATAAAGGGATAAGATCGCTGTCTGTTTGATCAATCGTACCTTAGCCTCAGAAACAGGAATTGTTTTTTACCTAAGCTAATCAGTAATAGTGTTAACAGCTCATTTGAGCCCTCAAATCCCTATGTGTCCAGAATTATCTGTGTTTGAAAGTTAACATGAAGAGTTTGTCTTTCTAGAGACTTTGCTATTTATAGAAAAGACGTAGAAATATTAAAACAGAACTTGAATCATAATAAATAAGACAATTTATGGATAGGTACTTCTGGAATATTTATTACTTCAACGTTTCAATGTGGTTCTCACACCGTCATCTATAACCTTTGCTTCTAATAGGCCTTTGAAAGATTGAATCATATTGTTACTCAGAGTTTCACACTAAGCAATCTTCAAACATATATAGAAATAGACAGAGAAATTCCTAGTTTCTTACTGATTTTTTCTTCAACATATAATAATCCCACCACCAAGGTATGTGATATTAAACTTAAAGATATAGTGATACTTACAGGTAAGATGTGGTATCAGACTTAAAGAGTTGTTTAATATGTAATTGATTAAATTTGTCTATATATACTCTATTTCTAGTCATTGATCTAATAGTCAATGGATTGATTACCATAGAGAGTCTCTTCCATATTGTTACGGATTTTTCTTCACTTCTACAAATATGTAATATTTAACACTTATTAAATTATTCACTACTGACAAATACTAAGGCTATATTGAACCAATATGATTTTCTTGTTCTAGATTAAAATGAAGGGTTTGGTGGTATAACACTTCATATGCATGGTGTTTATATCTCCAATCCGACTTATATTGTGATATACAGTCACCATGAAGGTATATTGTGATACAGATGGTCATCTTCACAATGTCAAGCTATTACAAACTTCATTATACCTTGACTGCAATAGCCACTTTTCTTGTACCACAGAAGTTAGCGAATATAGAAAGTCTGTTAACAATAAACCATAATGTTTACAGTATTTCTGTCAAGGGCTCTTATTCGTTGGTATACAATCCAATCAAATTGCTGCATTAGCAATATTGAACAGCCAAGATAGTCTTGTAGTGTCTCAATGCTAAATAGAGTTATACATACCTTGGACACTTCAAAACAAGATGTTTTCCCAATTCTTCATAAATAACTCTGTGTTGGGTCATGGGTGGAATTGTTGGTGGATGTTTTAAGGAATAATAGCCTGGTTCAATGAATTCTACAACATTTCCTGCTTTATCAGTAATAGTAATAGGACCTGGAGAAGAGGGACAGGCTTCATAGCATTCTCTTACATATATCTCACAGGCTCTCCCTTTTATCTCTGGTTTCTTCTTCAAAAAACCAGGCAGTGCTGAAGAATGACAGGGTATTCCTTGTGGATATTTATTTATCATTTGGAAGCTTTTTGGTTTAACTGGTCGATCTGGGTAAATTTTCTAAAAAAAAAAAAAATATTGTTATCATTTGGTTTATCCAAAAGAATACTACCTCTCAGAATGAACATAAAAATAATTTTAATTCTCAAAACTTGGCCATAAGATAATAACTGATAATCATATGTTAACTCTTTTCAACACTAGTGGCTGCTTTACTAGCTGCTCTACAAAGGACATAATGACTTGACTGATCACCCGTTAACCAAGCAATGTCATTAACTATACAGTGGTACACTGAAAGTCGCATTTTTGTATCTTCATGTACCTGAATATAGAATTTTAAGCTTACCTGCACCATACACGTGCCTCTTTTCCTTTGTGAACCTTGATCACCACATTTATCACAGCTGCTCCATTCTGCCCATACTGTTGCTATTTGTATATTCTCATTTTCCATATAATATGTTGGAAGGGGAACATCTTTTTCATTACTTTCATACAACTGTTAATTGTAAATTAAAAAAGCAGCCTTCACAAATAGACCTGATGTTGAAAATATTCAAATTAAATAACAAATAATATATTCTGAATAATATAAACACTCAGAATTTCCAGGAACAAGTTTGAGTTACTTTGAATGGATTATAAAGTGTATATTTTAAGCTAAAATCTATTATTATGAGCTAGCTCCTTTAATACAACAATGTTAATATACATAATACAACATCTTCACAATGTCAACCTTATACCTTGACTGCAATATTAACTATTTTCATATCATGCAATGCAGCAATCTGATTGAATTGTAAGCCAGCGAATAAGGCCAATCAGAGCCCTTGACAGAAAGGCTGTTAGCTTTATGGCTTTGTGTTCACAGACTTTCTGTCGAGGCATCTGATTGGCATCTGTATTTTACTATCCAATCAAATCACTTTATTTCCAAACTTCCATGATATAAAAAAGGTGACTATTGCAGTCAAGGGATAAAACTAAGTTTGTAATATCTTGACATGTGAAGATGATAATACAGATACTTACAATTCTTTTTCTTTCATTAACTAAAATATCTATCTGAGTAACTGAAATAAAATCATCTTGTACCATACAGAAATATTGTCCTGCGTCACGAAATCTGGCTTTATCAATATGCAGTGAATAATCCTTGTTAAATTTAATTCTCTTCTTTTTTGTTTTACCATTACCATTAAATCTAATACGTTTCATTCTACCATCACCACTTCTAATTACTAGCCACTTTACACCCAAACTTTCAGCATTCTGATCTGGTCTTTTACTGAAATAATCAATCATTCTTTGAATATTAGACCTTGTAATACAAAATGATTGATCAAAGAACACACTCAAACTTGTTCATAGCAAAATTGGAATTATCCAAATTGAATTTTGAAGTAATAATCAACATTTTTATCATAATACATAAACAGGGCTGGTCTGGAAATATGGGTTCAAATTTTAAACAAAGAATTTATGAATGAGTTTAGAGGATTATTAAGAGGTTATGTAACATTGTTATGTGTATAGAACAAACTACATTACTTACATTACATAACTACACCATTCCAATTTTCAATTGCGAAGGGCCTTATGTGATAAAGCATATTTTGCTATTAGTAATTAGTGACATCATTAAACACTTAGTGTTAGTAGAATTTCAGGAATCACAGATGTCTGATTGATATTTTGAATGGTGCAATCATTGTCTTTGATACATACATTTTGTAGAAAACCTCTTTACGATCCCTTTAATAAAAATAACTTACCATATACCACAAGGTATGTGTAGAGGTTGTCCTGCTAATATCATTTTTGGTGTAATAGCTTCATTACTACCTGATCTTACCTCACTCTCTCTCTTTTCTAAACACTCATAATATTTCTTAAACAGCTTTTTATAATCTGTTTTAGTCAGCTTCAAAAAGTTTGTAACTTTTTTAACTTGTTTAAAGTCAAAAAATCTTTTCACACGATGGCCTTCTCTTTTGATTCGATTATGAACAATTTGAGACACAGAAGTATTGGTAGTGGTAGTGTTATGATCTGGTTTTATGGTAGGATATGGCACTAATTTTGATTTTATTATTCCACGTTCCTTTTTGTCATCAACCATTTCTTTTGAATTTATGATAATTTTTGGAGGCCATTTCTTTTTTGGTACATCAGGAACTTTGGTTTGTTTAACAATATAAGTCACAGAAGAATTGGTAAATGTAGTGTTATTGTTTGGTTTTATGGTAGAATATGGCACTAATTTTGATGGTATTCTTCCTCGTTCCTTTTTGTTATGAACATTTTCTTTGGAAGTAATAATTTTTGTCGGCAATTTCTTTTTTGGTACGTCTGGAACTTTGATTTGTTCATTAACAATATAAGAAATAGAAGCATTGGTTGATGTAGTGTTATTGTTTGGTTTTATGGTAGAATATGGCACTAATTTTGATGGTATTCTTCCTCGTTCCTTTTTGTTATGAACATTTTCTTTGGAAGTAATAATTTTTGTCGGCAATTTCTTTTTTGGTACGTCAGGAACTTTGATTTGTTCATTAACAATATAAGAAATAGAAGCATTGGTTGATGTAGTGTTATTGTTTGGTTTTATGGTAGGATACAGCATTGATTTTGATGGTATTCTTCCTCGTTCCTTTTTGTTATGACCTTTTTCTTTGGAAGTAATAATTTTTGGTGACAATTTCTTTTTTGGTACGTCTGGAACTTTGATTTGTCTAGTTGTATTGTTACGATTTGGTTTTATGGTAGGATATGGCACTAATTTTGATGGTATTCTTCCTCGTTCCTTTTTGTTATGAACTTTTTCTTTGGATGTAATAATTTTTGGTGACAATTTCTTTTTTGGTACATCAGGAACTTTGATTTGTCTAGTTGTATTGTTACGATTTGGTTTTATGGTAGAATATGGCATTGATGTTGATGGTATTCTTCCTTGTTCCTTTTTGTTATTAATGTCTTCTTTTGAAGTTATGATAATTTTTGAAGGCCATTTCGCTTTTGGTACATCAGGTATCCATTCCAAGTCTTTGATTATTTTGTTTTTCAAGGTTTGAAGATTCTTTAATTGTAATTTAACATTCCCATCAGGGTTCAACATAGTATTCTTTTGGTTTTTACTTTGTAAAAGGGGTGGTAAATTTTTGGTTTTCAAGTTTCTTTGTTTTTGAGATGGTAATAGAGGTGGTAAATTTCCCCCTAAATTCTTGGTTTTCAAGTTTCCTTTTTTTTGAATTGGTAATAGAGGTTTTAAATTTCCTCCTAAATTTTTAGGTTTCAATTTTTTTTTATTTTGAATTTGTAATGAAGGTGGTAGATTTCCCTCTAAATTTTTAGGTTTCATGTAAAGGGGTGGTAAATTTCCCTCCAAATTTTTATGTTTCAATTTTATTTGTTTTTGAGACAGTAATGGATGTGGGAAATGTGCCCCCAAATCTTTAGGTTTCAAGTAACTTTTATTTTGAGATGGTAATAAAGGTGGTAAATTTACACCAAAATTTTTAGGTTTCAATTTTCTCTGTTTTTGAAAAGGTAATACAGGTGGTAAATTTCCCCCAAAATTTTTGGTTTTCAAGTTTCTTTGTTTTTGAGATGGTAAAAGAGGTTTTAAATTTCCTCCTAAATTTTTAGGTTTCAATTTTCCTTGTTTTTGAATTGGTAATAGAGGTTTTAAATTTCCTCCTAAATTCTTAGGTTTCAAGTTTTTTTGATTTTGAATTGGTAATGGAGGTGATAAATTTCCCTCTAAATTTTTAGGTTTCAAGTAAATTTGTTTTTGAGACGGTAATGGATGCGGTAAATTTCCCTCCAAATCTTTAGGTTTCAAGTTCCTTTGATTTTGAGATGGTAATAAAGGTGGTAAATTTGCCCCCAAATTTTTAGTCTTCAAGTTTTTTTGTTTTTGAGACGGTAATGGAGGTGGTAAATTTCCCCCAAAAGATTTAGGATCCAAATTTCTTGGATTTTGAGATGACACTAGAGGTGGTAAATTTCCCCCCAAAGCTTGAGGTTTCACATTTCTTTTTTTTTGATATGGTAATGAAGGTGGTAAATTTACACCCAAATTTTTAGGTTTCAATTTTCTTTGTTTTTGAAAAGGTAATAGAGGTGGTAAGATATGTTTCAAGTTTGTCTTGTGTGGTTTTATATTGAATGGTTTACTAAGAGTTTTTGATAGTAATTTGTTAGTTTTATTAGTCAGTGGGATCACTTGCTGCTTGGACTCGCAGTTCCAGGGTATTAAGGAAACATGAATTGTTCCATTCACAAAACTGTATGAGCGATGATACTGGCAATGTTTACTTTCTGTTTCTATCAATCCTATAGTTTGAGTCTGGTTTGATGCAGCAGGAGATATCAATAATATGTATTCATAAGTAAGCAGCAGCAAAATAAATGTCTTTCTTTCTAACATTCTTTACACAAACCAAATTACAACTGTTGATAAAAATTTCTGAAAAAGATAAGGAATAATGAAATCAGTTGAAAATTTAGAGATTCAGGACTTTTCATCATGTAGGCTCAAGTATTCACACCATAAGTAAGTTTATTATTCACCTAAATTATGATTGATTTTTTGGAAAAGTTGGTCAGATCATATGCAATCTTATTAAGATGAAATTACTATTGTTTCATTTTGTTTGCCTCCATTGTAATGCTACAAGTTTTCTAGGGCAGTTACATTCTAAGTTATTTTTATTTTTAACCAATCAAAGCTTGCCATGTAGGACCTGTATTTTGACAAAGACAAATTGTGGGATAGCAAAACCAAGAGAGACTGTTATTAATGCTCTACTTTGGTTTCATTATGAATTTAGAATTGATTATTTTTATGTGTTATTTCTTTTTTTTATCTCTTTGTGTTATAGTTAAACTAAGTTTTCTATGTGTTGTTATTTTAGGATGGTACTAATGCTGGTCCATATAGTCATGTTGCTGATTTCTCTGCTATTAAAGAATTAGATACAATTCAAATGGAAATAGATGCCATTAAAAAGTAAGTCACGTGTTCAAAATTCCTTAAAAGAATAAACAATAAAATATTGAAATAAAGCTATTTATTAATTGTCCTAAAGTGAAATAAACTATTTGTCCTTAATATTTTGTATAATTTGAATGTTTTGTCAATTGTATATGGATTGAAGGAAAAACACTAGATGTAAAGCAAAATACCATGAGCTGGGATAGGATGTAAACATTATCTTAATTGCCAATTAACCAAATTGTTCATGAGATGTAACAGCTACCATAGCAGGCTATTTCTCTATGTACCATAGTCATGACTACATTATTTCATTTTTATTTTAGAGAAAAATTACAAATAGAAAGAGATAAAGCTCAGAAAGAAGCTGATATTAAAATAAGACAAGGCGATGTTCAGATGCAACAGAAAGAATTTGATGCTATAACTAATACATTACATCAATTAGAACAACAGAAGAAAGAAGCTCAAAAACGATTAGATGAACTAGATGATAAGGTACATTATATTTTCATCTGCATTCTCCAATTTGTCTCTTTTTAGGCAAATTCAGACAAGCAATAGCAATTGGTGTGTAAAGAAGGGAAATTTTAGTAGGACAGCGGCATTAGTATACTCTTTTTCAATTTTCGAAATGTCAATGCATCATGTATAGCTAGGCTGATATTGCCCTTGGGGTCTTGATGTTCCAACAGAATAACCAGATGTGTTGTCAATATCAGACTAACTTGCATTACATTAATAGGGCAAATCTAACTTGACCTTTGCGAGGATCCAGATCATCAGGTTCCAAGCAATCTTTTATCTGACTCAGTCACTGAAATGGTATGTTAGTACATGTATTCTGTTTTATAGAAATCTAAATTGGAAGGAAATGTAAAAGAACTAAGAGAGAAATGTGATATGGAACTAGGAGAGGTAAGTTTTTCAGTTCAATATTATATGTTATCAAGTAAATTAATTGTAAATATTAATTGTCAAACTTACACTTCAGTTTTCTTGTTAGAATGAAATTATTTTTATAAAGTATATATTTTAAAGTTATTTTTAGTCCATATGAAAGTATATATTTATGTAACTTTGTGTAAAACTATATGTAAATCCAACAATCCAACACGTTTGTTTCCCTGCATTTGCACATTGTAATCTTCAGTTTTTATTAATCAAAGTTGACAGTCAACCAATGACTCACTTAAGCCTCTGGTAAAACTCAATGACATTTGATAGACATTTGAATTTGATCATATATCTTCGTTAATCATTACCTATTGTTTAGAATGACTTGTTCATAAAAGAACATGAATATCAAAATTGAGCAAAATCTCTATATAATTTGAAACAAATGTACTCCAAAACTTTTGATCTTTGAATTGCACTTTCTGAAGCTGAGTTATTCTCACTGTGTCAAAGTTTCGTAGATTTTCATTAAAAGTCAAGCTTGTTCTATTTAAACTGTTCTATTAGTTGTTTAAGTGTACTATTAGAGGACTGTCATCTTTAGAATTAAATATTGAGTTAAAAATAAAATGTTTTATAATTTACAAGTAGATATATTTCTATAGATTATGTGTATTATTTTCCAATATTTTTAGATCCTATTTAACCCCTACCCACCCCACTATTTTATTACAGGTTACAAAACTTAAAACACAATTATCTCAACAAGAAAAAAGGATTAAGGTAAATTGTGTATATATGGGCTTTGGCTGATTGGTTGTCTATTATGCTTCTGGTTTTTTAATATTTTATCTATTTAATCATCCTTTTCTGGTTGATTTGAAAATGTTTTCTTAATTGAGTGCCTTAGTTAGAACATCATTGCTTAAAGGGACAGGTTCGCCATCCGTTTGATCAATTGTATCTCAGATCAGAAACGCAATTTTGTTAACTAGTGTATTAGGTAAGTGTTCACAGCTCATCTTCAAAATTTGAGCCCTCAAATATATGTTTGTCCAGAATTATCCACGTTTGAAACTGAAAGTTAAAATAACAACTTTTCTTTTCTTGAGACTGCCATAATTACGAAGGAAAATAAAAATTCCTAGTTTGAATTATTTTTAATGAAATTACGCGATTTTCGTACATTTCTAGTACCTTTGAAGACACTTTATATCTATTCAAAACCAAAATCAACCTCAGAAAATGGCGAACCATGGCCTTTAACCATTCTCTTATTTGTAATTTGAACCTCTTAAGTCTGGGATATAAATGTATTGGTCTTTAATTAATATACGGTACATCAGGATTTTGAATGCCTTTATTTAGTCTTTAACCATTTTGCCTGGCTTTATCAATCAGCTTCTATATCTTGCCTATTTTAGACATTTTACTTACTTCAGCTGTCTCTCATCTCTATAATAAACATCATCTTATCTATTTTTTTAAAGAATTAAACATCAATGAAGCATTTTGAATATTTAAAAAAAAACTTTTTCTGTACAAATCTATGCATTATTATTATTCAACTTTAAACTGCTATTTCTTTGTATATGTAATTAGTATTTGTAATAACTATAATTCAATAAAGTCTACCTATATTAATTGTAGAATCAAGAGCAAGAATTAAATGATTTAAGAACAGAGTTAAATAAGTTACGTGAGGAAGAGAGTCAATTAGAACAGACAGTAGAATCCAGTAAAACACAATTAGAATCACTAGTCAAATCAAATAATGACTTACAAATACAGACTAAACAGGTTGATATACTTTATATCTCTTTCTCTCAACTGTATTGTTCACAAATATTTTATTATTAGGGATATATAGTATAGTAATAACAGTTATCTGGCCATGTATACTCAAATTATGATCTTAGTGCTAGGATGTCCCTAAAACAGTGTTAGAATTTTATTTCTTAAAACATCCTGGTGTTAAGATAGTTTTGAGAATACACAGCCTGGACATTATGGGTATTACTACATCCATTATCCATTCTGAAAATGTCAAACTTCGGTAGTGACGCAGGCTAATCAGTCTCACATTGTGAAACTCTTCAGTACCAACATGTTTCAGGTTCTGTTTTAATATTTCTACATCACTCTACAATTGATGAATTGAGAACTATTTTAACAGTGAAAATATTTTGATATTGTATTCTGAAAATGACTATCACATCACAGATGGCCATTCTTATTTTCGAGAAATCTCTTATGTTATCATTACAATTTTATGATACCTAAATTTTAAAATTTTAATGGATATTCCAATTATAGACTAAAGCCCGACTACAGCATTTACAAGATCAACAAAGAGCATTAACTGGTAGTATTAGTAACTATACAGCTCAATTAAACGGAAATGATATAGCCTTAACAACACCTGGTATATCTTCTGATATTGATCAACTTAGTTCTAGAGCTACAGTAAGTACATCTTTATATTCTTTTCATATTATCATTTATAGTATGATATACAGGTAGATCTCTCCATATTTGTTAGACATTACCTATCCTATTTTATAATATAAATATTGGTGTTATTCTGTATATAACTTGTTATTTTCAAAATAGTGTTAATAAAAGACAATGATTGAAAAAACTTATATATAATTTTTACTTATAATCTTAAATCTTTTAACAAAACCAACATAACATTTCTCCTGATATAATATGGTATATCTCTTTGTCCTGTATTTTTGCTATATTTGCTGTGAAATGCATTATTACTATTTTTGAATTGTAGGTTGGAAGTCCAGTGAGCACTATAAGTAATTTCAGTGCCCCCTGCTTAGATGATTTTAAAGAAGACCCTTTTAAAGGAAAAGATCCTTTTAATAATTCCTCTGAACAACCTGATCCTTTTCAAAATGAAGATCCCTTTAAAGGAAGTAAGTACGGTATCTCAATTAATTTTGAGATATTTAAAAATCTTACCATGGATATAAAATTTTTCTGCTATGAAATTTAAGCAAGTTACTGATGTTTTAAAAGATCAATAATCATATTATATTTACAGATGATCCATTTGCAGCTGATCCATTTGCAGCTGAAGATCCATTCCAAAGTTCAGGATTTAATTCTGCTGGTCAGGTAAAAGATATTTAGTTGTTTTGGCCTGATATGATATTAACTTTGACTAAGATTTGGACACCTTCAGTACAAATTATTGTTGTGAAACTGTTCTATATTGTTGTTTAGAGGTATACTACCTCTTAAGATGACCAAAAAAATTAAATTTTAAACTTGGATAAAATGAATCTTTGTTCATCAGTGGACTTACCTGGTTTCATAACTATAAGAAGAGAATCCTTCTTTAATCCAATAATCTATAAAACTAAGTAATAGTCATGGCACCTGGTAAGTCCAGCTGATGAATAAGCTTACTTTTGAGATTTTACGTGCACTCTATTTTATGAGCTAGTATTATGTTAATCTGTGATAAACAATTTAGAGTTGGAATATCTGTGTATATAATGAAAATGCGCATAGTAGAATAATCTTTTATTTTGGGGTAGTATCATATATAATAACCATATCATTTATTGTGCAGGATGATCCTTTTGCCAGTAATGATCCATTTGGTGGTAGTGCTTTTTCTTCTTCACCAAGTAAAAAGAAACCAGATAATTTTGATGCTTTTGGATCAGGGTTTGGTTCATCTCCTTCAAAGAAACCTTCTCATGTATGTTTTAAGTTTCTTATATAGCTGCTTGATTTATTTTGATTTCTATTATTTTCACTGTTCAAACATTTTCAGATTGTTTTTGTCTAACCAAAAACAGATTTATTTATGGATTTGATTTTCTCTTTTACTTTGCTATGTAGCAAGATTTGCTTTCTATTTAAAAGACATCTCAATATTTGTTTTGTTTTATAGAAAAAGATGCCACCTCCAAGACCTGCACCTCCAAAAGGTAAAAGCCCAGCAGCTTCACCTTCTAAACCAAAAGTTGATCCATTCGGTGGATTCCCTAATGATCCATTTGCTGGTAATGATCCTTTTGCTAGTTCTGGAGGAGGAAATAAATCTGATGCTTTTGCAAATTTTGCTGATTTTAGTCCCAGTAAGGTAAGTCAAGTTGATGATTATTTTCTTAAAATTCAACTTATTGTCTTTTGAAAAAAACTATCAAGATTTTAGAATTAATTGAATTATATAAAATTATTATCTAATGTTAGGAAAGATGGACATTTTTAAAAAGTTAAAGTTATATCATTGATGACTTTCAGTACTTTATATCACTATGTTTTCACAAATTTTACTGAAACTCTATTACCTTTTTACCAGTTTGATGATTCAGCCTGGGGCACAAAGCAGTAACACACTACAGATTACATGTTTAGCACAGAAGGTTAATAATAATTATCAAACAATGCATGTTATTTTGTTCTAATATTATATTATTTTAATTCAATCCTTACCCTTCACTCTATGATAACCTTGAAACATTAGCATGCAAGATATATTTACCAGTAGGTTTACAATCCATTGAATGATAAGAATTGAGTCCAATTTTGAGTCTGACACTGATAGGTACTAATATTAGTTAGACTCTAGCTTTCATCATGTCATTATTTAAATATGTCTGGGGTATTTGTTTTTTTGCATGTTTTTTAGATTGTAAAGTATCCATTATAAAGTATATAAGCTCTTTTTTAATCTTATAAATGTATTCCAATAACCATCTACTAGACCCTAACTTATTCAATAAATGATCCTTATAATATTATTTAGGCTACAATATCCTTTTATAATATTTTAACTGTTAAGTTTGTTTCTAACCACAACTACATTGATTTGCATGGGAATTAAATTTTTTGCATGAATAGTTTAAATTTACTATGCATGGTAAACCAGCATGAATTACTTTCAATGAAATAAAATATAAAAACATTTATGGAATTTGACTTTTGTACTTTAATAACTTTCATGTTTTGTCAAATTTTTCATAATTTTTTGGTAAAATTTACATCACATATTCTCTTTAGCTACTAGTAAATAAACTCAAAAAAGCTTTTCTTTGAAATTATCAATGGAAATTGGTTTATGTTGTGTTTTATATTCTTTTTCTTTTAGTTTGATACTGACGCCTGGTCCAGTCCCTCAAAATCAGCCACAGCAGTACCACAGACTCTCAATTTTACAAGTTCCAGTGTAGAACAAGAAGAAACAGACGCATAGGGACTCCAACTATAATTCATACATGTCATCTATTTAGTTACCATGTAATTTAACTCACTTTCATTGTTTTAGACTTCTATGTTGTCTTTTTAAAAAACTTTTCACTCATAATGTTTCATTGCTAAAATCATTTTATGGATCACAATTTCTTTGGTATGTTATGACAATATTTTGAAAGCTATAATTATCAGATTATTTGTGATAGGTTACTTTTTACTCTAATAGTACCCTACATTGTATTGAATGTGATTGAAAAATATGACCCCCTGCTAATCAATGCCCAAGTTTGGTAAAGGATTGGCTAGACAGGACTTGGGAACCTATAAATAAGTTTTACAGTTGTGACTATCTTTCATTCCTTTGGATGCTGGCTTCAGATGAACCAAAATCTTTAGATATTATTATACTTTAATTACTTCTAGTTTTATTATTAAAAGTTTATAGTTAAGAAATGTATTATAAAGAAAGAAATAAGATAGGTGCCATGGTAGAAAAGAAACTTTACAAATTATAATTGTTATATAGTTATTTATTATCAACCATATTATAATACTTGGTAGTCTTACAGTGTAGTCCGGAGATTATACGTATAGAGAAAATGTTACACAATATTTATATAAGTTGGTCTGCATGTTAAAATGCAAGCTTTTATCAGGTTTTACATTAAAATCAGATAAGGGGATATTACCTTATTCAACAAAAAAAAAGCAAGAAATACTGTCAAATATCTTGAGTTGCCAAAAAATCTGCTGTATTAAATGCAAATTCCAATTTCCAACTAGAAAGGTGTGTAAATGAAATAAATATTTTGGTCTAGTGAACTCTGATATTAAATGTCACAAAAAACTATATCTAGTACCAGTATCAGGTTATGTTGGTTTCAGTAGACCAGAGACAAATCCTTAAGCAAAAGTGATATACATGTATTTAGTTAAAATGACTTTCCAATCAACCAATCCCATTTATATGTTGATGTTTAATGTAAGAATGACCAAGTTTGTGTAATGTTAAATAAAATAGTGCAATATACTCTGTGTTCTCTCTGAAACCAGGCCCATATTCTTGAGTGCAGTAAGGTCATGATCTACCACAGAACAGATGTCTGTTGTGATGCATCTATAATGCCATTAAATAAGTTACTGGTAACTAACTTGAAAACCTCTAATCTCTTCAATTAGATTAGTTAAGTTAGGCCAAGAGAATTAACAATACATGTCAGCTACACATTCTTTTTAAGCCAGAGCAGAACGTGTTCTTTTGGGTAGTGCAGTAAGTGATTCTCTACAAAGTAGCTCTACAAAGTAGATTAGTGCAAGTAGTATGGTTTAAAATTGTTTTGTCAAGGTAGAATGATGTGCACGAAGGCCTACCTACCAGTCTTACAAGTACACAAAGTTAGATCTAACACTGTCGCCAAGTTGACAAAGAATAAAGATAGGAAAGCCTAGGCTTCGGTGGAATGGTAGGATTCATGTTTGAGAAACGAATTGTAACCTACCAGATTCCCTTGTTGATTTCTTTGTTGAAATATTGTGATGATTTTAACAACAGTTCCATTGAGTCTTCAATGACATTCCAATGATTTGCAATTTTGCCCTTTTTTGATGTCGGCACTTCGAACAAGGCAGAAGTTTTATTTTAGCCATTAAACAGAGTTATCCCCCGTTTACTCATCTTTAAAGCTTCAGACCACTAGTGATATTGAAGAAAAAGCATATCGTCTCAGCACTCAGACGCTTTGTAATTAAAAAGAGCAAAATATTTATTAACCTTTGCAGATAAAAGCTTATGCCTAAACCCAAGTCTACACCCGATTTTGTTAGGCTAGGGCTGAGCTGCGCGGGCTCAACGTTTTAGACGCTTGCTCGTAAAACCTAGGTAACGGTGGGATGGGAGTGCAAGGAGCCAGGCCCCCCTTAGAATTAATTGAATCTGGAAAAAAAAAAATGATAGTCTTTAACAACATATTTTTTTCATTGCTTTTTATTTTATTTCGTTTATTAAAGCAGTTATTTAATCAACACGACCACATTTGAAGCAAAGCACGTTTTTGTGTATTACAGTCTATTCAAAGATCAAATTAAATATAAAATTATGCTTTGATTCTAAAAACACTTCCGTCCAACTAGTGGCAATTATATCTTTAGACTAGGACCTATATTCCATAGATTTTACATCAAAATAGCTTGATAACGTGAAATTATATTGAAAGACTTGTTGATAGAATCTTGAGACATTCTTCTCCAGTCATGTATAATTGTGTGTAAATAATGGTAAAAGCTTCTCTAACAGAAGTCGATTTGATTCCAGACATTATATGGTCAGAGATCAAACAACTTCGTCTCGGCGTTTTATTCTTTGGAATTAGCGTGGTTTCTTGGTTACATTAGGCTCCATTTAAAAACAGGATCACAAATCAATTCAACTGTTCAATCACATGTCTTATTTATTCCAACCAATTTCACTTCTAGTGTGATGTATTCCCTAATTTACGTGTATGATTTCGTCCGTCTGGCATTTTCTCTGAAAGAATAAGACGGGAAATAAATCAAATTTGCAAATAAACTTAACTTTGGTATAACAAATTCAAGAGGAAGGGTAAATATCTGGGGTCAACGCATTTTTTTCCTCAATATATCCCGAAAACCCCACCACAGCTTGAAAAGCATACCGAGTGAAAGCCCATATATTACTTGGGGTATCACTGAAAAATCCCCTGCAAGACTATACAATAAACTCGATTTATTTGCCTTCTGCAGATGCGTATTATAGTACCTTATTTGCAAATCAATATTAATCACACGTAACAATAAATAAAAACATGGGCTACCTATTCTTAGCTTTAATAGTCGGTGTTATATCTGAATGAAGATCTTTCTTGCCGAGAGTAGCTCGACTTAATTCCGGACTGATACTAAACACACCGGAAGTAGAATCCCCTGCCAACACGTTAGACCGAGAATATTGGTCAGTACTTAATGTCACGTGACTTGTTTCTTCTGGCACATCACCCACTACATCCCCAGCACTATCAATATCACTGATTTCAACTATTGGTAACACTCGAAATAAATCCACATAATTTTCATCCGGAGAATCCGATCGATCATGGGAATCAAACGACACTTGTGGTATATTTGAGGCGTCATGAATCTGAGAATGCGTCACATCCGGTAAGGATTTTGAATTTCTGGAATTTCGCGATACACGCATCACATCTGGAAGTGATATACTACTACGATTTGGTTGCATTCGTCTCATCTGATCACTGACCTCCTTTGGAAGGTCTCTAGGATCCGAGTTTCCCACAAAGTATTTCTGGTGACACAACTGACGTCCAACATGAACATATTGATTACAGCGACATTCAGAAGGATCCCGTGGTGGACTGGTTGAACAACAGATCTTTTTGATGGTTTTGTGGACACGTTTGACAAAAGTTTTTCTCAGTAAGATATATAACCATGGATCTAATGTTTGATTTAAACTAGCTAATCTGATACACAATAAACCAACATAGGGTCTTGGTATACCAGTTACCAATGTTATAATTATGTGTATCTGGAAAGAGAGACGTAAATGATATATTACAAGTGGAATGTTATATATGGCCAAAAAAAAAAATATTTATCTGCTACCAAAAATCATAAAGTCAGAGACCTTCAATTCACAAATTATGAGCTTAGATGTGTTGCTGGACCTCCAAGCTTCGTGAAAGTCAAAATCATCAAGGGTAAAGCTTGGGTTCTAAATAGTCGTAATCTTAATTATTCAGACTAATTTTTCAGTTAGGCTATGTCCAACCTCTATGAGATTTGTTTTTACAGGTTTATGACTTATTTAAAACTATCTCAAACTAGGAATTTTATTTTATATTTCTATATAAGTTTTTCTGTATACAAACGTTGGTAATAAATCTGGACACACGCTCAAATTTGAATAGTGAGCTGGGAACTTAAGTCTATTACTGATTAGCTCAGCTGAAAATAAATACCGTTTCTGAGACTAAGTACGATTGGTCAAACGGATGACGAACCTGTTCGGATAATTCTACTCCAGGTTGGAAATAAAAGAGCAAAAGGAAGAAATTGATTATTGGAATAGCGAATATTCTATCATATTATTTTTTCTATCATTAGTTCACGTTTCCAATATCATAGGTCTTATTTCGAGTTTTAATGGATGTGATAAACAGATTACCATTCTCAAAATGAAAATATGAAATACATTAGTCTTTTTGTGTTTTGTAAAATATATCAGATATTAATACAATGATCTTTATTAATAGACGAACACAAAGTACTATCATAAAGTACTTAATGTCTTTAGCAGATATTAAATCACTCATAAAAAGAGATATTATAGCTTCGTTTGAAATAATGAAAGCCAAACTATTTTAATGAGATATGTGTGTGGTCCTTTTTTACTTTATAATTATTCAAATTAGAGCTAATAAGTTGCTATTTCACAATTCTCACCAACTTGTAGGCTAATAGTAAAATTCATTTATTTTTACATCATCTTTTTATCACCGGTATCACAGAATGTACATTAAAGCCAGGGAGAAAGATGGGAATGGTTCATTGCGTAGGAACTTTAACTTTTTAATAGATAAGCGTTTTGTTTAGAATATCCCAGATGAAAGCAATTTGTTACCATTCTTGATTCTTTTCAATGTTTCACCAGAAACAAATTGTATTGAGGGGATGGGGCATCTTCTACGCCAATTTTAATGGTTATCATGTTCAAAACGGGTTTCATATAGCATAACATTTTAACCTGAATTCCGGACAGGTACATATTTTTGTTTTCTGTTAATAATATCTGTACTGAAAAGGATGGGGTACAAATTTAGATCATAAATAGTTACCATTAATGGAGCCCAGCAAACAGCAAATATAGTAGAAATAGCACACATCAACCAAATCATCTGCATTTCCACATCTTTTTGTTTCTGTTTTTTAATCTGAGCTTGAAGTCTCTTGTTTTCATCAAAACCTTCCATTAAACTACTACAGATACTAGCAGATCGTTCTTTGTCTTGTTTTTTCTTAATGTATCTGACTCTAAATAGAGACACCATTACATAACCATTACAGAACATCATTAATATAACCACTATTAAATTTAATATAGAATAGCTATAACCATACAAAGCTATTATCAAATCGTCTGTGTGAAAGTTCAAAAAGCACCAGGTATGTGGATATTGTAATGTAAACTCTCCAAAACCAAATAAAGGCAACGTACTAAAAACAAAAACAAAGGCCCACAAGGAAACTACAGTTATTCTTGCATTTTGTATAGTACAATATTTCGAATAGAAATAAGTGCACCTTAAAGCTAGGAACCGTTCAACGGCCATAGCACACACGATAAACGGAGTAGATAATCCAAAACAAATCATGATAAAAGCATTAAATTTACATAAACTTTCTCCACCGGGCATTTCGCGTCTGTTAATATAAGCGGCTATAGTTACTGGTGAGGTCAGAATAATTCCAGTGAGGTCTGTCCAAGCTAGAGCAGCCACTAGGGTATAAAACATCATCCGTTTAATCTTTCGTCGAGTTCTATGTAAAACAATTAAAGCTAACACATTGCCCACGAGTCCAGCTAAGAACATGGTAATAGGTGAGATTATTGTTGCTCCCAATGCATAGTGTTCCGTTAACGTCTCATTAGTTGCGTTATAATCCTGTTTAAACATAGTGGAATTTTCTGTATAATTCTTGGATTCCATGTTATTTCCAAAATATCCCGATTCCATCATACTATTTTATCTGAATATTTCCACAAATGAACACTCGTGATATGTCAATAACTATTATCAACACGACATATTGTTGGCGTCCATTCTGGAGTTTCTTTCATCCGTACTATTTCACCATTATCAACCATTTAAAATACAACACTTTATTTCGCCTCTAAATATACACCAATCAGCTAGTGGGCGGAATATTTTTATTGATGACCTCGGAAACCTGAAACAAATGGAATAGAAATTAAAACACGACCTAGCGGAAAGATTTTATGACCTTTTTTACTTAATATATTGTTTTTAGGTAGATCACCAACATCAGAAGTGGTTAATGGATTTAGGAGCTCGTTGATGGATAGTGCGAAACATTGGCCTCTATTCCAGCCTCTGATTGTTATTTTGAAAGTTGTCGGCAGATGTAGAGGCAGAAAAACTAGTCCCTGTTTTGTGGGGATTTTCGCCACCTCCGAAGGTGCGAGTGTTTAAAAACCTATTTATTCAAATCGAATCCGTCAAACTCAGATATATTTTCTAAGATGGATATTTTTGTAATTCATTACGATCATAATCCCCCTACACTAATTATGTCACGTCTGCAGTTCCATCAAGTTCTCTTTTTTAGTAAAACTGCTCTCTTTTCGGTCATTTAAAACTTCGTGTGCCAAAATGTCAAGGGTCACAAAATCACGTGATACTAACAAACGAAAGTTGACATTGATTTACAGTTATCGTAATTCAATATTATGTTATATAAAAAGCATCTCAGAGGTGTGGAAAATAACCATAAAACAGGCCCAATTTTTTCTGACTACTCCAGCCGATAACTGTCAAAATAGCTAACAGAGGCTGGAATACAGGCAGATGATTCGGACTAAGTGATGGGTAAAGAGAACACAGAGACATGCTACAACGATATTACTATCACCATTATTATCACTGCTATATTACATTATTATCTTCTATGAGTATTATGGTTTTAACCATTTATCAGATATTCTCCATTCACGAAACAATAGATTTATAAATATCTTATTTCCACCACCATTTAGTCTTCAATACACCAATCAATGGAAGAACGATTTCACATTATGCCAGACCATTTCCTACTGAACGAAATGGAAGCTTTAAAAGCATTTTAAAAAGTCATGATATTTTGAGTATTGTTACATGTGTGTTAAAATACTCAAATATCAAGACTTTCAAGTTTTTGATAGATTGAATCCTTTTAATTTTCTCATATTCAACTACTAAAACGATTAAAACACAATGTATCGGCATGTAAAATTTTGAGTTTCCAGATTTAATTCTACATGTCGTAAAATACATTGTAGGCTACATATGATTGTTCTAGAAAAAAATGGAAAAAAATGAAACGAGAGATTAATTAGAAGAAAATTTTGAATCCACAGAATTAAAATTATGACAAAATCATCTAACACTTAGCTGCTAACAACAATTTACTAGCAGCATAAAGACCGGATGTTTTGGTAAAACGATCATCGGACTGTTATTTTGAAAAAGTTATATCCATATAAATTTCAAGACACAAGGTGAACTTCCACTATTTACATTAATTTAAAACTTAAATTAACTTCACAATATTAATACAATGAGGGACAGGGCTCACTGCATACTCTTACTGTAGAATGATGATTTAATCAATAGTCACATAAAAACAGTATAATCTACCCAACTGTAAATAAAATATTGTACGAATATCGGTATTTCAAAAAATAATAAAGCCGAAGCCACTGAATGTGGAAGAATTTTCGCACATTTCTAGTAGCCTACTTCTGAAGACACTTTTATATATATTCAAGACTCAAATCAACCTTCCAAAATGGAACATCTGTCCTTATAACATATTCCATCAATTCCATAGATCAAAAACTCCTTTAACCACTATACAGGCATTGCCAATTTTCGCGCTAAATCATCAAGTATCGAATGAACTGGTTGGTGCATTGGGAAAGTTCGTTAACTCTTCCACATCAAAAAAATTAAAAATATGCTGTCATGTAATTGAAAATGGTGTAATGTACTGGAATTGGCAGTATGAATACAGAAAATGACTGGTAAATTAAAAGCTGAAGAATCTATCTCGGTCGATTGAATTATTACAAGGTAAAAGTAAATACATGTAATTGTAAGACCATCAATCAGTATCTAACTATCACGAGACTAGAAATTGATACAATATAATATTCAATACATTTCAACCACTGATAGAGATCACCGATCTCAACCCATATATCATCATTGAGAAAATTAGGTTAGTGTATTTTGGCTGTCTGATGTATTTGGCAGCTTTCATGCAAATTCTTTATCCAAGAGTTACACAAGTGATAATCTAAAAGAAAAATTGGCATTAACTAACAGTGGGGGTGGATTGATGGTTTGAAATTATAAATATATATTAGTCTAAATCAATATTAAAAGTAATTGAACACCCACAAGAATTATTTGAAAGTAATAAGATGTAATGCCAAGGAGAAAATAATGATAATAACCAAGAGGAAGCTGTTTAATCAATCAGAGACAACAAGGAAATATGACGAAAGAACGTTCTGTTACTACAAACTCTGTGAAAGAAGTCTGGAGACTCTAGACAGAATCTGTTTGTCTTCATGGTAATCAACCTCAATAAACCTATACTTTTTAACAGGGACAATTAAGTATCCTTACGACAAGACCGCTCCTTAACGAAACACCTGATGGATACTTCTTTTTGGAGATGTACACTTAAAAACTTTTACTCCCGATTTTGTTGTTCTTTGAACGTATTTTTTAATGGACGGAATTGTCTTGCTAGTGCGGATTATTTCAAAAGAACCCACCGAGCTATGCAGCGATTGCGTTCTGTTGACTAACAGAGTGACTTCTGCTTGATGAAATCTATAGCTTGCTGAATCGGGCCATTAAAGCATCGCAGGTCAAAGAAGACAGTGCTAAATGAAACACAGAAGATTTTGTGATCGATATTTCACCACTTTGGGATCGCACCACAATCATACTGAAACTACAGTCTAATTCAAATTCGACTTTCGTGCCATATTTTTATTAGCTTTTATTTCTAATATATACACTTCGGTTAGGGTCTAACGACAGCCCTATTGAAAGTTGTCAAATTAACCTCTTGACCTATACTGATACTGCGTCACAAAATTCCAGCGCTAAAGAGGGTAGAAATTTGATTGGTTAAAGCAGACGAAAGTTTGGCCTCAGCTTAATTAGACTGACTAACACTATACCTTAATTATTCCTCGAATAGTAACTGCACCAATGTCAACCGGAAGTACTATGAGTCGAGATCAATTTTAATCTCGTAAACTGCTTTATCTTGTCAGATAAAATAATTCACTTACAACTTACAGGGAAAATGTAAACGTGATAACGTGACATGATAAAAGAAATTATATTGAAATAAAATTACAACTAATTACATTATTTGAGCATTGATATCTTCCTTTGTAAAAAGTTTCTTTGTTGTCCAGACAATGAAAAAGTTATCTTGAGATTCTTGGACGCGGAAACCTGTCTCTCGCGCTTTCCGTTAATATCATTTTGTTTCGTTTTTTTACCATGAAGGTTTGGGGATTTAAATTGCGAAATTGTAGGCTACTTTGGCTGCGACGAATATGACACCTTCACGTCAGTTCAAAGGACATTTTTCCTGGAGCAGCCCAATGATAACAGTGAAAGCTCTGTATATTTATTTAGTAATTGTAATTTCATTTAACATGTCTGGAAAAAGTCGATTGCACATAAATCTTTATCGTGACGTTGAATATGACAATGTTTTCCAATTTACACTAAAATACAGTTTTATTTAAAAATGGAAATTTACGGTTGCTGTGACCCAATATCGTCTTTTGTAACCCTACACACCATAATTAGACTAATCATTCATAATACATAAACGTCCGGAAGTACATCCGCTCGTAACCTGACAAATTGATGAAAAAATAGTTCTGAAATGAGAGCCAACTTAAAAAATCTATAATTATTAATTTTCTTTACGTCAATATCAGTCGATATTCATTTGATAATATAATTATTCTATTATAAATTATATTTGATAATAATTACCAACCTCTATCAGTTGAAAATCATGAATAGAACATAGAAATCCCATGTGTATTGGGTGGGATGACAGGTTCTGATAAGATAACTTGTTAGAAATGGTAACCTCTGCCCACAGCAGCAGTTGTGCAGAAGTCTTATCAATTTTCATGGGTGTAATTAGTCAACTTCACTTTTTAGTTTGAAATCACAAGAGCATAGAGAGTTTCATTAAAATCAATATGGAATCTGTCTCAAATATTATCGAAATTTCAAATAATATCACCAAAATCAGACAAAATTTCTCGCATGGAAAAATGCGATTAATAAAGCTAATGATACTGCATTTTCTGGGGTTGAATTGGGTGTTGAATATGAGTAAATAGACTTCAGTGTTCAAAATTAGCACAATTCCTTCAATAATAGTACACCAAACTAGAACTTTCTATTTCTATATAATGTCTTTTATATTATATGACAGAATTTAAAGAAAAGACGACTCGTCATTTTAGCTTTCAAATGCGGAAAATTCTAGACACACATGGATTTGAAGGCATACATAAACTTCGGAGACTAAGATACAAACAGATGGCGTCCATTTTACAATATCTAATGCTTCACAAAGTGTCGAGAGAACGGTAAAAATAAATGGAATATGTAAAAGAGGTATCATTATTTTGTCGATATCACGTAGGCCTATACGATTACAAACCTACATAAATATAACCTTTTCTTGATGAGAATAGGTATTTACATTATATTGTGTCCATTATTAATATTTAGAAATGATTTAAACTGATATAACCTATTCTGAAATTATTATTCTGAAACTGTTTATATATAAATCGACTTGAACCATCATAATATAATATTTGCAACGATATAAT